GTAGGTCGGCTAAGTCGAGGCGTTTCGTTCGATTGAGCGGACAACCAGCCACGAAGCCGACGTGAGGCCAATGGCTGACGAGTCGACGCTTCTCCCGCCGGAATACATTACTTCAAATCTGGTTCCATCCTTTTGATCGAATGTTTATTCATGTTGGGATACGAATTTTAATTCAGATTAGAACTTCCTCTAATTGCTCGTGAGAATATTTTTTTGTAAATTGACACTGCGTTGAGAGTGATCGTTAATTATTTAAAATATAAAGAGTGACTATCTGAGATTAACTACTACGACTCTTAACGCGATATCTATTTGTGAAAAATATTTCGAAAACAATTTTGAGAAACAAATTGAGAAACTTATATAAGGTTTTTATAATTTTTATTTATTATTATCTTATGAGGTTTCTGTGAAAAATCATTATTTCATTTTGAATTGAATTTCATTTATTCTTTTTTTTTTTTTTAATAAGTATGAATGCATTTTTATATTGTTGTAAGAAAGTTCATATTATTCGTTTATATTCATTCTATAGGTATTTTAAATGTACGTAGAATTGGTAAATTGATCAGATAAAAAAATGCAAATTTAATTGATTAAATTCTGATAGATTTAATGAATTCATAAGTATGCATATTGGTTAAAATATCGAAAACTTACAAATAAGATCGTAAATGTTTGCGCAATCAACTTTTTTCTTATTATTAATTTAAGAAAGAGAAATGGAAAATATTATAAGACTTTTGAACAAAAATTTATATTCAAAAGATTCTTTTTACTTATTTTAATGTACCTTTATGGATTATTAATTATAAATTGTACATATTAAATATATCATATAAACTATGCTTGAAAAACACATATAATTTGCAGTCAAAATAATTTATAAAAAATGTAAGCATTCGAAGATCAAAAATCGAATATTTTCCTTCAAAGTGGAAGTTATCGTAACTTTAAGAGTATATTTTAAAAATAATGTAATTTAATAAAAATTTAATTCAAAACGGGATTTTAAATTTAAATCAATAATCAATAGTATTAGTATCGATTACTAGTAACAGAATTGATCCGAGAAAAAATATATACGACGTCATCTCATTCGTCATCGTAGATTCTTCAACCCGTTACTTTTTAACATTAAGCCTCGTGGGGCAGTCGAACGTTCTCGCTTGCCTTGGACCATATCTTTATAGCGATCGAGTTCGCAGGGTCCTCATTTAAAATGGAACTGTCTACGCAGTACGCTCGCTGAAACGTTATTATCGTAGTATCTTCGTTGTACCTTTCGGTTTCTGCGATTAGGAATATTTCGTGTAAGATGGAACGAAATCAGGATTGACAATGAGAATAAATCATCGCACATAGTACATTGCATAGTGACTCGCACATCTCAATATCATCCGATCTTCATGTGATTATTTTAATTTTTGTTAATATTTTTGATTTGTTTTTCTTTATTGACTCTCTCATTCATTATGATTTTCATTAATCTTGTACGATTGAATATCGTTTTTTTCTATTTCGAATCCATACAAATTTTTTAATCGTTAAAAATTGGATACTGCTATATCTTTATAATACAGCGTTTTATAGTTAATTTAATGTGAAAGAAACTTACGAGAGCATTGAGAAGTAGAGTCGAAGTAGATTTTTTTTATCAGATTCTTTTCACTTCAAATCGATATAAGTTTCGATCGTTCAAAAATTGAATATTACATATTTTATGATAGAACGTTTTACATCGTGTTAATTTAATATAGAAGAAGAAACGTTACGAGGGTGTTGCGTACGGTCAAGGCTCGAACAGCTATCAGATCTTTCTCGTTCACCGAGAGTCCGTCCAGTCGTTCAAGACTTCGTAACCGGTCTCCTTCTCCTTCTCCTCCTCCCCCTTCTCCCCTCCTCTCCGCCGTGAAGCCTCGATTCGCGATAAGGATTCGAAGCGACTGGATCCTCTGTACAGCTAAATTGCTCGAAAACTCGCAACACGTAAAGTCGAATGGCCATCGCTAGTCTCTCTCTCTCTCTCGGCAGAGAGCTCATTCCTGCCGAAGTAGACTCGAAGTACCGGTTCTTGTTTCTTTTTTTCCTTCTCTTATAGTCTCCCTTTCTTCCTCTCTCTGTCCAGACAAATGAAAAGAAGGCGAGCAATGGATGGAAAGAGAAAAAGAGATAGGGACTTCCTTCGGGGAGAGAAGAAGCGACTCGAAGAAGCGAGACGAAGAAAAAGATCGGTACACCGGTCACGAAGCTTGCGCAGGTATTTATAGCACGGCCCCGGACCTGTTCGAGGGATTTGGTCGGAGAATCTCACGTACACCGGTCGATTCTTTTCTACCCGAAGGTTGCTCAACCGTGGACGGACGGAACCGCCATTTTGGTTACTCTTGAGCGCGGGATCTGTTGTTACCTTCGGTTTGAAAGTGTGACGCAACGTATTGCGTAAAAACGCGTCGTTAGAAGCGGTCTCTAAACGGTTGGCCCACGGTCTTTGATATTACTGTGAAATCTCACTGATCGTGGAGACATGTTTCGCCTGGGGGACAAGGCTTTCGCGAACGGCGCGGTAGCGAGAATGAAGGTCATTGAAAATATTAATATGACAAGTATCGTATACCTTCTCTTAGAAAATTTATTTCAGATCTGAAAAAAATAAAATAGGAATATCATGGAATAGAAACTTCATTCATTAATAAAAAATAATTCTCTACGAATCAAATTGTTTAAAAATTGTTATCGTTCATTAAAAAGGATTATCAAATAAACTTTTATATTATAGAAATTTTTTGTCATTCGAATATCTCTGCAACATTTCATCTTTATAACTTTTTTCTTACTCTTCTTTGAATATTTACATTAAAATATTGCAAAACATTGCTACTGCTTTACATATGTTTATTCTAAATATAGAATATCAGAAATCAAAATTATATCAGTGTTTGAATATTTTTGTAAATATTTTAGTAATTATATAATTAATTCATAATTGACCGATCATAAGTCAATAGAAATCATTAGATATTACAATCGGTCGTTGAAAGAATGATTAAAAGCGAGGAGCGGAAATGGCTTTCCTCGTGACTGGTCCCATACTCGGCGCGCACGTGCTCGCAAAAAGCGGCGTGTCCTCGCGGTCGGTTTCCTGGTTTACGCTCGAATGGCTTCGCCGGCCGACACGATGTCCTCGTGCTCCATTCGCGAAACAGAGTCGGTGTCAAAGTCAAGAGAACGCAGACGCAAGCGGGCCTCCGATAATGGAAACAGAAATTACTAAACGCGTCCCAACGATCAAACGATTCGTGACTGCGTGTAATTGCCTTCCATATCGTGTCCTTGGAGGGCGCTCCTCGCGCTCGCATTTATCCGTCATAAATATGATCGTCGAACGATAGAAAGTTGCACGAATATGTAGCTTTTTTTAACTTGTATTTCCAAGGTTATTGTTATTTGATATTGAGAACGTCAATTGAATGAAATAGAGAGTTAATTAAAGAACTTGGAAAAGGTATTATTATATCCGATTAAGTTAGGTTAGATTATATAAATTAGATATTACGTTAAATTAGATAATATATATTAAATATTAGATATTAAAAATATTAAATACTGAAAATTTTTTGTAAGAACTCATATGTAATATGTTAGTTATATTAGATATATTGATGAGAAAATAATATTGAGAAAATAATAATTCTTTTTCTCAACTACATAAAAAAATCAATTTACTATATTCATATATATATATAAGATATAAAAGATTTTTTTTATATTTTTCGTAATATTTGCAGAAAATTTATGAATATTATAATTTTATTATTTATTCTTACATATTATGTTACAATTCAAAGTTTGATCAAATTTTGAAGCTAATATATATAATTGATATAATTCAATTTATAATACACAATTTACTTTCTTATACTCACAATAAGACAATTATAATAAAACATTTTAATAACTCTTCTTTATTTTGTGACAAATTCTTACTAGTTTAAACGAATTTATTTACGCACATGGTTATTTTAATTTTTTTGTGTGCAATTTTCATTTTCTCGAACAAAGTTCGCCAACGGTTTTCTTGTAAAACTATTCTCGGAATATATCTGTACGAAGGAAAAGATTAAAATTCGCAAATTTAGTTCGGTTTTGTCGACGAAATTTCAATGTCCAACGCGTCTGGAATAAATAATGAGCAAACGGTTACAATATGGATTCTCGTAAAGTCAGGATGGCTGAATTTACGAGCAACCTTGAGGGGGTTCGTAGGTACCGTATGCTATACTCTCTTTCCGCACGTCCTTCACGCACTGCCTCATAATTTGTCCTCGATCAGCGATGTTATATCTAAAGCTATCATTAAAAGTCACTCGAGAAATCATTGCTTCTATGAATGGTGAAGGGCATTTGATCTTCTGATCGACCGATTTTAAGCAGTTCATTAATCTAATATTTATACATTTGAAAACATAGAAAATTTCGAAATAATTTAACAACGATCTGAACGATTTGAACATCGAAAAAAATGCATTATCTTCTCTAATCTCGAGTAGAATTAAAATAAATTCTTTATAAATAAAAAATAAATTTGTTATCAAAATAAATTCTTAAGTAACAAATAACTACTTGAACGAAACTTTTAATTTATTTGTTTATTACTCTATCTCAAACAATATTATTCGAATAATAACTCATTTATATAGGATAAATTATTTTAACATTTGTTATTTTATTTTGAATAGAGAAATTTTTTTATAGAGAGTCAAAAGAGATCTAACAGTCATATTACAATTTTCATTTTTTGAAGATTAATATAAGAAAGAAAGACAAATGAGAATAAGAAAAAAAAAAAGAATAAGAATAAGAAAAGAAAAAAAAGAATAAGAATAAGAAAAGAAAAAAAAAGAATAAGAATAAGAAAAGATAAAAATTGCAAGGAAAAAATATCAGAGATTCAATATAAAAAAATTTACAATATATAATGATAATAATACGATTTATAGATCGCGAGAAAACGGATGATGATCGTGCGACGACCCCGGAATCGCTTCGCAGTAGCAGTCCGGCTTCGTCTCCGCCCCCTCAATGGCAGTCGACAAATACTCCGGCTAATACGCCACCTAGACGATTTATCTCGAGTATCCTCGGTGGAGATATCCCATATGGAAGCAGAGGTCATGTTTTAACCAGGGCGGAGCGCAAGGAATACAGCAATCCCCCAATTGCGCCCTCTTCTAGTGATGCTACACAATTCCTTACGAAATCGGAAAAATTGGTATTGCCTAGACCGAGCACTCCTCCAAAAACGCCTAGAGTCGAACCACCCACACGGGTCTCAGTCATTCAAAGGGTTCCTTCCCAAAGTCAATCTGCATCGAGAAGAGAAGATAAGATCGAAGTGCCACAAACTCAAGAACCAGAACAAGTAATTATATCTTTTTCGTTTTACATACGTTTCTTGCAATTGATGTCTCTCTCTTTCTCTCTCAACAGTTATATTTTATTATTCACATTTTTCAAAATTTCAAATGATTTTTAAAATGATCGTTAATTGGCACTTTTATACATTTACTGAATTATTAAATTTACGATTTAAGTTTGTAAATCGACAATTAAAAATATATAAAATAAATCCTCGGATAAAAATCTTTACTCTAAATTTAATTCTGGATAACGTAATAATTTCTGAGTATAACCATAATTTATTTAAATGTATTATCGATTCTGTTCTTCGATTCCTATTAAACAAGAAAAAAAAAAAAAATTAATTTCAATTTTGAATAAAATCGATTCTAAAATAAAAATTTAATTTCAATATCGAATTTATTTAATAATATGAATAATGTTATAAAAGAAAAAAAAAAAAAAAAGTTTTTGAAATTATAACTTTCTGTGATTACTGAAACACTTACGTTATAAATACTCCATTATTATCAATATAGCTCGCGGTGTTTGTCCTTCGTAACAGTAGTGGTTAACACCTCATCAAGGCTAAACTTTTCCGCCCCGCTCGCCCGTTTCCCCTCGCCGGCATACCAGGAAGAATTTTATGAATACCAATAGGAACATATGTTAATCCATACCGCCAGTCCCGAGCAATCCTCAGAAATGCGTGACAGCTGACGTTACTCGTTATCTTTGCAGGAGCAACCTATCGATTACGCTGTGCCGAAGAGAAAGGAAGAGGACGAAGAGCGAGGCCGCGAAGGCGCAAAAGTGTCACGCGCGATAGGTAACTCGATTGCCAGGCCTCTCCTGGCCATGAGACTGTCCGGTCCCCAAGTGGTCCACGCAGCCGCCGGTCACGGAAGATCGTCTAATTCCGGTGGAAACGGCAGTTCCGGGTCCAACAGCAGCTCCAACAACTCGGGCAGTTCCTCCTCTTCGAATTCAGGCGGAAGTGGCAGTTACTGTGGAGGAGGAGCGGCCACAGGCGGTAGCGGAGGTGGTGGTGCTGTGGGCGGAGGTGCTGGCGGTGGAATGAATCCCGGAGGAAACGGTGGCCGTGGAAATTACGGGCCAAGTTCACCGCCCACTGGTTCTTTGCCGCCGTTCTACGAATCCCTTAAAGGCGGCAATAATCTGGCGAATTTTGCGAATCAGTATAACAGTACTCAAGGTACGACTTTCAATGAAATGTTTTTATTATTGTGGAATTTAGAGGATATACAGTCAATATAACTGTTCAAAATAGGAATCGTGTTATTAATTTCGATCAACGACATATCCTTGAAATATTTTGTCAACATCATTCTTCCGGACAACGGTTACTTAATTTTTAAAACATACATATACAAAAATATTTTATATTTCGTATGTATTTCGTATCGTATTTCATATTTATTTAAATAGTGCGGATATAATGTTGATTTAATTAATTAAGTAAAATTAAATAAAAATATAAAGAAAAGTGAATGAATTAAATTAAATTAATATTTTCACATGTATAATTTTTTAATTTTATAGTGTAATTATAGTGTAATTATAGTGTAAAAAATTAAGCGTTCTTCATATTTTTTGAAACATTTGCCAAGAATGTGTATATTAGTAATTTTATCATTTAAACTTATTATTTTATATTTAGATTAAATTTTAAATACTTTTAACTAGATTGATTAAACTTTGCAATGGTTAATCAATATTTAAATTGTATTGATTTGACCTTTGCTTAAAATCTATACAATTAATCGATAATATATATTAAATATATTGAAAATATATCATATAAATCATATATAAATCGTATATGAAAATATTTTCATATAATATTGGAAATTAAGGAACAGTTAAAAAATTATTTAGAATAATAATTGGCAATATATTTCAAATAAATCGAAAATCAATAAGAAATAATTTCTATATTAAATAATTCTTAGATTTTTAGATTAGATTTTATAAATAAAATAATCGTTTCAGGAAATGGATACCTGACACCATCACCAACAGTAGGGATGGAATGCGATACCGGTCAGCAGGACGTGAACTCACAGCATTCCCAATATAATGCTCAAGAAGGCAAGCAATACTCCCTATTGCAAAATGTCTGCGCCTCGTACGGTTTAACGTTGAAAGAGGAAGAAGATTTATCACCGTACAAAATACAAGCGAATGATCTATTATCCGGTCAATATGGCGCATATGACATGACTGATACGGGAATGATGGTAGATATGGTGACTGGCGCAGTGGTGGATCCTCTTCAATTTACTGCTACTCTAACGTTTAGTTCACCCTCCGACCATACCGCCCTCTTAGAAAGTCTCAGTGACGCTGCTGATCTCTTCCTACCGAGATTACCGGCCGAAGATGGTAGCAATGATCTTTTAGAAGAATCGTTACATTCACCAGCTTCAGCTGGAAGTGGAATTGGTCAAGATAACGGACAAATGACCACTCCTGTAGAACCAAGTGTTGATCCTTTCCCAGAGCACAGCATGGCTTTGACTAGAAGCTTCGATACATCGAGGTAAATATTATGAATTATATAATATATCTCAAAATTGAGCTGCTTTTAAAATGCGCATCTGATATGATTCGCGCTATGTAAAGTAATCATACGTTTCGAATTTTATTATTAGATTTGTTTAAATTGTCTATTTGCTTTATTTTGTTTGTAATTCATTAAAAAGGTAATTAACAATTGTGAGTAAACTTAAACTTTTAATATAAAATTTAATTGAAATTATTCTTCATAGTATTCTTCATAATACATAGATTTAATTATTTTTCATATTTCAATGTAAATAGTGGTCGAATTTTCACTATTTTTATTTACTTGTTGAAATAACGAATTATGTGTGATTATGTTAAATATTCGCGATATGTATCGATTGCTCAAATTTATTTGATAAAAATATTTAAAGAAAAGAATTTTTTTTATGAAAGTATACTGTATATTCATTTTATTTTTATTTTTATCTGAAAAATGTGAATTTTCATTTTTTCAATAGCCTGATTCTCTTTTCTATCTAATCAGTATTCGAAAAATATATGTATTACATATACATATAATATTTAAACGTTAAGCAAAACCAATGGACAACGATTTAAATCAATTATCGATTAGTTCTCGACGAATATTTTTGTATTTGAAATATGTATATATATTTTGTATATATGTATAACTACAAGATCAACATAAAAATCAATAACAAAGACTATCGACTCAGAATATAAATATAGAAAAAATTCGGTTGGTAATACTATAAGATTGTGTAAGAAAAATAAATATCAAATTTTGAAAACCTTATTTTCAAAACAATATTGAAAACAATAAGTTTATTTTAAATTATTAGTTTATTTTATACAATTAAATATAATTTAATTTTTAATTTTTATTTATTTTATAGGATGTTAATTTTCGGATACTTATATATCCGAATATATGTATCTTTTATCTATTTTAATTAAATTATTATGACAAGTTAAACTAATTTGAAATCAAGAAGTAAATAATTTTTGTTTAAATTGATAAGTTTAATTATGAATGATTTAAAATAACAATTTTTAAATTTACGTACTGTTCCTATTATCATATTATATTCCTATTAGTTAAATTTTAAACTGAAAAAAATATGATTGCTTTATGTTACATTACAAATTAATCGTTAAACTTTTCAGAAAAAAATTGCAAAGAATTATTTTAGAACATTATTATAAATAATTATAATCTTGAAGAATTAAAACGAATGAATTCGAAAGTTGCTCATTGACTATTGTTAAATAATACAAATGAATAATCATCTTTGTTCAGGCACTACACGGCAGCTCCTCAACATTTCAGCACTTCGAAATTAGGACTAACTTATGCTACGGGAGAATCGAGTTATCAATCTGTTTCAAAAGAACGACCCGAACTCGCGCTTCACATTAATCAGAATCATCAACATCAATCCGAACCACAGCTGCAACAATTGCAGATACAGGTGCAGTTGCAGCAACAACAACAGCAGCAACAAACAACATCCACTTCACCTCATCAACAGCAACATCAAGGATTACTCAGTCCGGGATTAAGCTTCACCGGTAGTGGTTAGTGTTTATATCGCTTCTTTCTGTTTCATTCTTCATGAAACAACTTGTACAAATCACTTTATTTTAACAATAATGTTTCCATAAGTGGTTATAGTTATTATACATCTCGATATAATTTGAAATTATTTTTTATATGAATATATTCATCATATTCATATAATAATTTTGTTGATAAAAATAAAATCAAAATAAAACCAAGCACAATATAGTTAAGATGATTTTTGAAATTGATAATAATAATATCATATCATAATAATATCTATATGTATTCTTATTTATTTTTAATTGCTTATTCTTTTTCATTTGTATCACTCTTTATTATATTTTTTGTCATATTCTTGTACTTATATACTTTTTTTTTTATCACTGCTAAAAATATTATAAAAACATAAAAACAAATTGAACGAAATGAAATTAAGAAATTCAATATGGCAAAAAAATTATATGCTACTTTTTAATTTATTTTGAAATATTTCCATTTATGAAAACATTAATGTGACTGCAAAATTAATTACAAATTATTTAAATATAGGTGATTTTAAAGTTTTAAAGTTTTAACAATTATATTGAGGTCTGGAACTAGATTCAGGTAGCAGTGTGGGTGGAAGTTTACCAAGTCCCGGAGCAGCGAGCTGTTCGTTAGACGCTGCTTCTACTAGTACGTCGCCATCTTGCGCTTTAATGGAGCATGCGCCTAGCCCAGCAGCCACTGTATCTTCGGCATCGGTAAATACTGTGCAATCAACAGGTCCAACCGGAGAACCACCACTGACGCAACGGGTCGGTGTACTGCAGCAAAGGGTAAGCACCCGAAATTGATACAGGCAAAAGCATACTTTATTTCTTTAGCAAATTGAATGCGACTAATTGAATCTGTATGGCACTGTTTTGTTCGATAATTCGAAAGCTTGCCTCTTCTTTCTCCTTTGTCTTTTCTCGTACAACTTTTTTCATCTCTTAACACATTCGAATTAAGATGTAAAACAATTGTCGAAGATTAGAAAATTATTGTAAAAATACAAATAAGAATTGAATAACATGTTAGTCATTATAAGCAAGATTAGAAACTTCATTAGTATTCAAAATTAAATGATAGATTAAATGATTGATAAAAGAATCACTATATTTCTATAAGAATTAAAAAAATAAGGAATTTTCATTAAAAAGCTAAGATTTTATATGTAACATAATATTTTCTTAGTTTCTCATTTGTGCAAATTAAAATTTAAAAAGTTGTCATCAAGTTTCCTGCAAGCATACTAATTTTTCTATATAACATTCCAAAATGCTTAAACATTGCCATATAGACAATTGAAAACTACAAAAAGATAATTGTTTATATAAAACTAAAATTTAGTTTCATACGATACTATTCGAATGAACTGCATTAAAATCTATGCATATATACGATTATGCAATGCCAATCAAATTGAGTGCTTCATCCACTGTCAACGATTTAATTGTGAGGAGGATATATACCGATAGAATTCATTCTTTTTCTTTTATAGCTGGGGTTACCTGGTGACTGTCAGTTGGAGTTCGTGAACGGTGGCCACGGAATTAAAAATCCACTCGCGATTGAGGGTCAGAGACAGGCAGCAGCTAATCGTGAGGAAGAGAGAGCAGCTCGACCTCCGCCTGGCAAGGTAAACATCATTCTTTGACGCTTTTCCTCCCTACACTGTATAATTTTATTAACTTGTCTAGATTAGCATTCCATAAGCTATAGATTTACACACCTAGATTCTAGTTCCCGATTAGTGTTCCACTTTTGCAGTTGTTACATATTTTATGGAATTATATTTGTTTGATATAACTCAAGGTTATAAAAGACATTTAACAATTTAAGAAAATTTAAAATTCATTTTTCAGGACGACGATCCAAACCGTTTTACGTGCCGTGTATGCAGCAAAAATTTCAGTCTGCAACGATTGTTGAATCGCCACATGAAATGTCACAGTGATGTGAAACGTTATTTATGCACATTCTGTGGTAAAGGTTTTAATGATACGTTTGATTTGAAGAGGCATACTAGAACACACACTGGCGTTCGACCATATAAATGCAATCTCTGTGAAAAGAGCTTTACTCAGAGATGTTCCTTGGAAAGTCATTGTCTTAAAGTTCATGGTGTTCAGCATCAATATGCGTATAAGGAACGTCGAACAAAGGTAAGAATTTGAATTTGTTCATTTCAGTTACTTTAATAATAAAGTTACCTGAAAATACACTTAATAAATATAGTGAAGTTATATATATGTCTGTTCACACAACCAAATTTTTTCCAATAGCTGTAATTTTTAGCTCAGTTATTTTATTTTTAAAATTTATATTCAAATTTATTAATAGAATATAGAAAGTATATTTTATATAGATTATATTATGAAAATATATTTGATATTATACATATTACATATACATATTTTATATTATACATTATACATATTATATGAATGTTTTGATTTTGATTAATTTATTATTGACAAATCTCTATTTTAAAAATCAAAATATAAAAACAATTATAGTTATCAAAACCTTAATTTATAAATTTTTATTATATGATAATATTTATTATATGAATATAATAATATAAAACATATGAATATATGAAAGTTAATTTAATAATAATAATTTATATTAATTTGTTTTTATTTGCTCTATTTAGGTATATGTATGTGAAGAATGTGGTCATACAACACAGGAGCCAGAGGTTCACTACCTACATTTGAAAGATAAACATCCATACAGCCCGGCTTTGTTGAAATTTTACGATAAGCGACATTTCAAGTTCACCAACAGCAATTTCGCCAACATGTTGCTCCAGGTGCGCACGTAGACTCCGATTAGAGTACAGTATGACAATTTAAAATGTCGTCATATAAATAAAAAAAAAAAAAAATGAAAGGGAACGGGAAAACAAAATTACATGGTTTTTTTGACCTTGGGGGAAAACAAAAATAAAAAAAAAAAAAAAAAAATGAAAGGGAACGGGAAAACAAAATTACATGGTTTTTTTGACCTTGGGGGAAAACAAAAATAAAAAAAAAAAAAAAAAAATGAAAGGTAACGAGAAAACATAATTACATGTTTCTTTGTACCTTGGGAGAAACAAAAAAAAAAAAAAAAAAAAATAAAATAAAATAAAATAAAAAAAACGTTCAAAATTAAAAATTATAAAGCTAGGTTGATAGGAAAGGGTGGGAGGGAAATGCATGAACGAAGAAAATGAATCGAAAGAGAAAAAAGGTTATAGTTTCCTAAGAGCGATAAAAATAAATAGATAAATATAGAAAATGATATGTAGAATACGAAGACACGAGAACGAAATCTGAATATTCAAACAAAAGAATAGCAGATACAAGAACACGAAATTGTTCTTGGTCATGTAACTCTTCAGGGTGGCCTGTTGCAACGGGACTCGCGGAATACGGACAGCTGCGTAAAATCAGCCTCGAAAAGCCTTGAAGCGCCACTTCAACGCTCCTCAACATTGTTGCATCTGGGTCGAGCTTCCAGTTTCTGATGACTGATACGAAAACTGACTGGGAAGAAGAAAGAAGAAAAATGGCGAAATGGAGAAAAGAAGAGCTGGCTCCGATTTTAGAAGAACTCGATCTAAATGCCATCGAATCCCGAAGTAAACGTCGCGCGAAAAGTACCTGTAGGTGGCTCCCCTTTAGCGGTGACACATAACAGCATCGAGGGCCAATGACGATCAGATTTTATATTAACAAATTCTAAAAAAAAAAATCTATAAAATTTAAACAGACAGACTCGTGACTTTCAAACCTAGACGAAAAAACGAAAGAGCATATTTGTATACACAGTATTGCGCT